CCCACAGTGACACCCACCCACCCCACAGTGACACCCACTCCCCCCATAATGACACCCACCCACCCCACAGTGACACCCACCATGCCGGCGGCGATGTCCTTGGCGAAGCTGACCCGCTGGCTCCAGGGGTAGTGGCTGTCCTGGGGAGCAGGAGCAGGAGGAAGGATTTGCCACAGAACAGAAGAGGAGAGGGGTCCCCCAGCCCCACTGTGGGGTGGTGAGGGCCAACCTGTCCCCCCAGTGCTCACCATGCTCTTGATGAGGCCCCTCAAGGTGCCCCCCTTGATGTACTCCGTGATGAAGTTGAGCCTCTTCTCCTTGTACAGCACCCCGATGAACTTGAGCACGTTGGGGTGCTCCAGGCAGCGCATCACCTTCACCTGCAGGAGACCCCCCACACCCCCCGTGTCCGTGACACCCCGAGGCACCCACACCCACCTGGGCAGACCCCCTGCTGCGGGCAGGGCTGCACCCACAGTGCCGGGACACCCCATTCCACGTGCTGTGCCCAGACCCATGTCAGGTGGGGGACAGGATGGGACAGCCCTACCCCTCATGCCCCCCCAAACCAGGGGGGTTAAAGGAAAGGGGGGGTTAAGGAAAGGGGGATTAAGGAAAGGGGGGTTAAGGAAAGGGAGGTTATGGAAAGGGGACACTCACCTCTTTGAGGAAGGTCCTCTGTGTCTCCTCGTCGAAGCGGATCAGCTCCTTCATGACCATCACCTCGCCCGTCTCCCGATGCGTCACCTGGGAGCGCAGAGACTGAGCCACCCCCACCTCTGGGGACACCACCCCCCTCTACCCCAGGGAGCCCAGACCCCCACGCTTGTGCCACGAGTCCCACCTTGATGGCCTGGCCGAAGCAGCCCTTGCCCAGCACCTCCCCGTGGATGAGGTCGGAGGGGCGGAAGATGCGGTGGGCGCGGGACACGACGCGCAGGGACTCGGAGCGCCCGATGTCCTTGCGCTGGGACGCGGGGGAGCCCACGGAGCCCGAGCCCGGGGACTTGTCCGTGCTGCAGCTCCTCCTGTGGGACGGACGGACAGAGGGTCAGCCCCCAGGAGGGACGCCGAGGGGAGAGGGGCCGAGGCGGTGGCCTTACGTGACAGCGCGCTGGCGCATGGCCGCGGGCTCCGGGGGGGCCGGGGAGCGCAGGGGGCTGCACGGGGCGGGCAGGGGGCTCCCGGCCAGCCCCGGCTCCCGGGCAAGGGGCTCGTGGGGGTCGTGCTCGATGGTCAGCTGGAGCAGGCGGCTGGTCTCCTGGATCAGCAGGTCGATCTGGGGGTAGGAAAGGACAGTGGGGTCGTTTTGGGGCCATGCCGAGGAGGGGGGCTGGTTGGGGGGCATCCCGTGGGGGGATGTACCTCGTCCAGGGGGACGTGGCCGATGGGGGTGCCATTGATCTCCAGGATGCGGTCGCCCACGTGGATGGAGTTCTTCATGTCAGGGCTGATGCAGTCTGGGTCCACCCTGGGGGGCCAGCAGGAAGCAGGGTCAGACCCCCAAGAGTGTGCTGGGACACTGCCCACGGGGTCGCCTCCCTGACATCCTCACTGGTGGGGATGTGCTGGGACACTGCCCATGGAATCACCTCCTGACACTGTCACCACTGAGGATGTGCTGGGATACTGCCCATGCCCCCCCCCAGTCAGTGGGGAGGGGACAGGCTGGCACAGCCCCTGCGAGTCATCTCTGGGGACACACAGTCACTGCACCCACGAGCCACCCCTGCAAGATGGGGATGTGGAGGCAAGATGCCCACAGGCCACCCACTGTTGGTCAGGGACATGCAGGCATGATGCCCTTGTTGGATGGGGACACACAGTCATGGCACCCACGGGTCACCCTTGCCGGATGGGGACATGCTGTCATGACACCCACGAGTCACCCTTTGG